AGCTGGCCGCGAGCAGCCCGCGCCCGGGGCGGAGGCTGCGGGCCCCGGCGCGGCCGGGTGCAGACAGCAGGGGGCAGTGTTCCGCCGCCTTCCGCGCCATGCTCCGGAGCCCGGGACCCCCATCGGGCTCCCGCCGCGACCAGAGCTGCGCACGCGCACTGGGCGCTCCCAGAAAGCCGTGATAGACAAGTCTGCCCCCAACGTCCCCAGAAACCCCAAGGCCCAGACCTGGCCCAGCTCATTCCAGGCTGAGAAGGACGCGGTTCCTCTTCATTTCCCAAACCGAAGGACATCCGGCTCTCCTTTTCCCTCAAACTGCAGGGAACTGTTCTCACCTTTTCCATGAAACTGAAGGGAACCTATGGAAAATCAGGCCTATTGATTCCCTTCAAATGAGAAGGCATCCACCCAACTTTGCCCCCAAATCTGAGGGGCATTTGGCTCATCTCGCCCCAAACAGAGGAGGATCGTCTCTACTTTTCATTCAAGCTGAGGAGCACCGATCCCACTTCTTCCCCCAAACTGAGAGAAACTTGTTCTACCTGGTCTCTCAAACTGACTTATCCCATTCTTTTCCTAGAAAACTGAAGGGCACCCATCCCCCTCTTTTTCCCACAACTAAAGGAACTGTCACACCTCTTCCTTCAAACTGGGTGAAATCTATTCTCACTTCTTGCTCCAAATTGAAAGGGACCCCTCTCACTCTTTCCCCAAAAGAGGGAAACACATCCACTCACCCCTCAAACTGAAAGGATTAGGACCATCTCGTCCCTAAACTAAGGGGGACCTGGATGACCACTATTTGAAGAAACTTCCGCCCCACCTGCCTTAACAGTCTTCAAAGAGAACGCAGCCTCATCCACCCCAAACCTAAAGAAAGCCCCTGGCCCTGGGCGCGCTCTCGAAGACGGGGCGCGCGCTGGAGTTTTCCCGCCCTCCTCGCAGTGAGCTAACGGGATCGCCTCTGGGCCCTTTGAGTGGCTGGCGCAAGCCCCGTCTCCGGCAGTGGTTCCCCCCCCCCCCGCGCGCGTTTTAGGGGACTAGTCTTAGCTCCACCCCTTTCATCGGCCCCGCCTCCGTCTGGCTCCGCCCCTCCAGCGGCGTCCGGTCCGGCCCGGCCCAAACAGCAGAGTTAGTTGAGTAGAATCCGCGGCCTGGCAGCGACCTGGAGGCGCGCGGCGCGGGCAGAGCTATGGCGGGCGGGGAAGACCAGGGGGACGAGGAGCCAGTATCAGTGGTGACGGTGAGGGTGCAGTACCTGGAAGACACCGACCCCTTCGCATGTGCCAACTTCCCGGAGCCGCGCCGGCCCCCCACCTGCAGCCTCGACGGGGCGCTGCCCCTGGGCGCGCAGATACCCGCGCTGCACCGCCTAGTGGGGGCGCCGCTCAAGGTGAGGGAGGCTAGTGAAAGGTCGGGGGCGATCGGGGGTTTGGGGTCGGCGCCATGGAAGCCTGTGGGAAGTGCCCTTGGGGAGAGGCTGGAGTTCTTGCTCTCCTCGGGGAGAGTCTTGGGCCGGACTCCCAGGGTCCACGCTGCCCCGCCTGCGGGGGCGCCCTCTCAAGTTGAGTGGAAACTGAAGAGGGCTGCCCCTCGAAGTGAAGCCCACCTGGGGAGGTGCTCGAGGTCCACTCACGGCCCGTCTGCCAGGGTGGCTGCCCTGGGCAGAGTGACGATAGCTGTTCGGTCTGTAGCGGACCCAGGAGGCGGAGCTGGGGAGGGACTAGCTTCCACCTGCTTCAGGTGAGGTGAGGGCGGGACTACGAGGAGGGGAGGACCCGGGGCGGGCCACAGAGGTAGCTAAGACTTTGCGCGGTGTCTGGAGTTTGGATTTAATCCTGTGGGATAGTCTCACCCCTGGGCATGCTGTCCGAGAAGAGACTTCCCAGGGTGGGGTGAGTCCCCGGTAAGTGGCCCGGCCCAGAATATGCCGAAAGTAGGAGGCTGCACGGGTGGAAAAGCCCTTTGAGTCACCGCCCCCACCACCCCGTACACCCGCTGCAGGTCGGCCCGCGCCTGGAAGGGAGGGGGCGGGCCGGCCTAATTTTAAACCGTTGGCCTGCCCTAGTTTGCAGGAGTCCCAGAGCCGATTTGTGCACAGTGCGGAGAGAGGCCCTTTTCCAGATGGCCGGCCCTACCTCTCTTCCCCTCCTGATTGCCGCCCTCAGCCCCCCGCAGGCAGCCCTTTCCGGCGCGCTGTTTCCGGGCCAGGACTCTGGGAGGCTCACTGCCACCCCCTAGGGTTTCCCGCCCCGCCGTCCGCTTCGAGTAGTGGGGAAGAGGAGAGAGTCGGCGGGGGTGCTCTCCCCTGCTCCCAGCGTGAGCTGGGCGCTGAGTTGCGTAAACTTGCCCTCTGGCCTAGGGTCTCCCCTGGAATGTGCACCCAGGGGCTGGGCCCCCAGCCTGCATTCCTCGCTCTGCGGCCAGCCCCGCCTCCCAGCGCTGACGGGAGGGGTGGAGGGACTTGGCCTGGGGAGAAGCAGAGACCCGGCTTCAAGGCCATGGCTGGAAGGCTGCAGCACAGTGCCCACCTCCAGAGTTTTGATGCAGTCCCCTCCTGTCCTGCTCTTTTCAAAGGGGCAAATTGAGGTGGGCCTGGAAGAAGTGCGTCCAGCCGGAGGCCAGCTCCTATACAGGATGGGAGCTGGGAAGAAAGAGTGCTAGACTGAGCCCGTGGTTCCTGCCTCCAGGCTCCTGGAGCTCCTGGTCTGAAATAAGGCTGCAGCACTAAAGAGAATATAGTATTCCTCCCATCCCCCACTTTAGGACTGGACCTAGCCCTGACACCCTCTTCATCACTGGGGGTAGGCCTGGAAGGTCAGTTGCAGGAAAGAGGCTTAGAACCACCTGTTCTCCCCCTAAGTTAGGGACCTATCTCCCTTCCCCACTCCACCAGGTCCTCTGTTCCCTAACTGAGGACACTATTTCCCTGCCCCAAATTCAGTTCTTCCTGATCTCCCCCCTTTCATGTTCTCCCATCTGGAGTACCTGAGGACTACCTTCCCTCCCCCACAGGGAGGATATGGGGGCGGGCACACTAGGTTACCACAGTGCCTGGAGCCAGGACTCCCTGGGGCTAGCAGCTCTGCCAGGAATGGTCAGATGCACTGTGATGTGCTCGTCCCAAATATAAACTGTGACCACAGCCCCAGAATAGAAGGCTGGAGGAAGAGGGGCTGAAAATAGGGCAGGGGCAGAGACATCAGAGCTAAAGGAGGGGGAGCAGGGCCCCTCTTTGCAGGAAATGTCAACAGCTGGTTCCTCCCCTAGTCCTATAAGTGGGTGCTCCAAAGGCGTAGACATGACTCCAGCTTGCCTTGCTAACCCTCTAGAGGCAAAAGGTGGCCCAGAAACCCAGGCATCCGTGTCCCAAGCTACTGGGCAGAAACAAGAGGGAGGAGTTTTTTGTTCACTGCTTCATCATATATACAGTTGTCTAGCAGGGGACAGGACACAGCCCAGTGACCTCTGCCCTTCCACTCTGGGCACTGGGCCCCATCATCCCTGCAGACCTTGTCCCCTCCCCCTCTGGGGGCTCCACCCCCACACTGCATTGGATTGGACCTAGCCCCTAGAGTTCCCCTGGGTACTTCCTTTTTAAACGATTCATAACTCGAAGATCTGAGAAAGCCTTGCTCATTTCCTCCAAGTATAGGAGGAAGCTCTTGGCCACAGCCTCTGACTCATCTCCTGGCCCTGGTTGGGCGGTGGGAGGGAGCCTGGCTGCCTTGGGCCAGGCCCAGTGTCCCTGGGAAAACTCAGGAGTGTCTTTCTCTCATCCAGGAAAGAGGGTCTACCAGCCCAGAGACCTGCCCCTGCCCTACAGGAAAATGTGGCCCTCTGGCCCTGCATCTCCTCTCCTGATCCAGAGCTTCCCAGTCCCACCCTCCCTTCTGGGAAATGCCTCAGGAGCTGCTCCCTGAGACCCAAATGCCCTGCCACATCTGGGATAGCAGTGATTTTTCTCTAGGCTCTGGGAAGAGGGACCTAGGCTACTTCTCTGACCCTGCTGCAAAGATCATAGCAGCCCCCTCCTCCTGGCAAGCAGGGATAACTCTAGAAATCTGGTCATTACCAGCAACTTTGTTTCCCCAACAGTGGCTAACGATCAGAGTAGAACAGGGGCAGCATTGTCTTGGAATGTTTCCTTACCCTATCCCAACCCACTCCAGCCTCTGTTTACCCCTCAGGAGCCCTTGTGGCAAGGGAGCTTAAGTGTAAACCTGACCTGCTTGGATAGAGACCAACTAGAGGCTTCCCAAGGATTCTTAAAAGGATGGTGGGGTACTCTGGTGATGAACTGATCTCCTTAGTCCCTTGCTACAGAAGTCTCTTTGGGAGACTATAGAAGATTGGGGTATGGGCATGAGTCATGGCCTCCTCCCAGCCTTCCCTGGGGCTGGCATGTGAAATCTGTTGGTCATTCTGGGCTAGAGTGGCTGGGCTGCAGCCTGGTGAGGAACCCTAAGACCTAGGTTCTGGCAGAGGTAGGCACTGTTGCCCCAACAATGTAAGATGTGTGTGTGTGTGTGTGTGTGTGTGTGTTTGTGTTCATTCATGTTCTCTTGCTGCAACTGGGAGGACTAGTTTGGGGTATTTGCAGAGTCCAGAAAGCTGAGGGATGGTCTCCAGCCTTTGGCAATCCTTCAGGCCCCTGCAATCTCTCCAATTCCCCTCCAGGATTCCAAGGCCCACCTACCCAAGATCTTAGTCAGTTAGCTCTGATTCCATTACTGGCTGTAGGGTCTGAGGCAATTCACTGAATTTCTGAGCCTCAGTTTCCTCACCTGTAAAAGGATTAATGGGAGAATAAAATGAAATAGGCAGCCCAGTGTCTGGCACAGAGGAGGCGTAACAAATGTGGATTTTCCTCCTCAAGGCCCATTCATGTCATCTCATCCAGGAAGTCACAGTGTAGTTGGAGACCCGTGATAAGAGGAAAGGAGGGTCTTCAGAGCACAGGGTCCTGTCTTTATAGGAAAGAATTCAAAAGAGGCAGTTAACCAATTATTTCCTAAAACAAGAGTCCTTCAGCATTTAAGTCTGCCCTTTTCTCCATCTTCCTTGTGCCCTGCCCCTGGCATGTTCATTCTCACCTGATTACGGTTATAAAAAATATTGGGGAGTAGACACTATGGTCCCTAAGCTTGACCCTGCATATAAAACCAAATACAACGAGTTGGTTTGGGGGCTGCCACTAAAGCCTGAGCCTGGAGAGTCAAGAGAAAAATGGGCTGGAGACCGAAGTGAGGGGCTGAGCCTGGGAAGAATGGGGGGAGGACTCCACCCCAAGACAGAGACCAGAGAAGTGAGGAAGACATGCGCCAGGAGGGAGTCAAGGATGTGGGCCCAGAGCATGTGCTGTCCCTAAGCACTATGAGCAGGGACCAGGGTTTGGGCTTACTCAGGCCTGGCCAAGACCCAGGGTGTGAGAAACAAGGCCCAGAGGTTTGGCTCGCAGAATGGTGACCCTAGGAAATGACCAGGGGTGTGAGGAACAAGCACCATCCTGTTGGCAGGAAGTCTCTGCTCTTTGCTGTTTGCCTGACCCTAGCCCACCCACTCCCACCTCCACCTAGGACAGAAACTGGGGGTAGGGGGGACACTGTTCTGGAGGCATTGGGCTAGCTGTTACCCAGAACTTCCTCCTCAGAAATGGAGCCCTGGCAGGATTAGACAGGCAAAGTGGCTAGAGAGGCCACTGCCACTACCACTTAGAGAAAGGGTCAAATCTGCCCAGCTGAGGAGGCTAGGGGAGGTGGACCACTTAGCCTTCAGGACCCTGCCCCAAATGGATGCAGGCGTCCCAAGTGACCTGGCGAGATAGGGCCATTCTCTGCTTACTTGGGATTAGAGCATGCCATTGTGCATGCAAGAGGGGATGACAGCATGGTGGGCCTTGCCTTTCTGTGGATGTGCTACTTTGGCCTGTGCGTGGTCAGTGAGCACATACCCGACCATATACCTGGGTGTGTGAGCAGTTACCAGGGTAATATGATTACGTCTCCAGTGTTTACCTTTACAGCACTCTACCCCTCCCCTTTCTTAGCACCCATGGAAGTTGTGATTTGACATTTTTTTGTGAGCTTTTTCTGAATCAACCTGTCTATCTCCTCCACTGGGCAGGCAGAGACAGTGTCTGGTTCCAGCTATGTCCTCTGCATCTAAAACCAACCTGGTTCATGAATGTTCAAATGAATGAGCTGTTCTGTATGTGTGTGATTTGGGGTGATCCTTGAGAGGGGTTGTGGCTCTGAGGGACGTATGTTGCTCTAAGGTCCCAGAATCCTCAAATCCGAGGTGGGGGGAGAATCGGCTATGCCTGGATGGGGGTGGGATGGGTAGGTTGCTGAGTCATCATGTGGGAAGAGAGATCAGGAGAATGTGGGGCTGCCCTCAGCTGAGCTGGCCCTGGAGGAGATACGCCAGCCCTGGGGTCATGCCACCACCCCCTTTCAGGCCTGTTCTCAGAAGGCCTTGGAGAAGGTGACTCTGCTCCCAGGGAGGGGAGAGAGGCCAGTCCCGCCCAAGGCACCCAGGAAAGGGCAAGCTGCCAGGCAGGAAGTGAGACAGAGAACAGGCTGGAGTGTTTGTCCTATGTCCCATGTCCCAGGCAGTGAGGGGTGAGGGGGAGTCACCCAAGGGCCCCACAGGCTGAACTACCAGGAAGGAGCCAGATCAGGCTCTGAGGTATGAGTAGGGTGCTAAACAGAGACAGGGCAAGGGCAGGAACTCGACTCCTTTTCTCCCCAGGGGATTGACGGCAGCTGGAAGCCTTTGGGCTGGGTCCAGAGCAGGGCAGGGCTGACCAAACAGCAGGACAAATGTTGGGGCTGACTTGTCAAGTAAGATGGAGACTGAAGACCCTCTACCTCTTCAGAGGTGGGTTTTCACTGGGCCATGGCACCTCAAGGGCCAGAGCCACTCAAGTCAAGGGGACTTTGCTGAGCCCTGCATACTGGCACTGTGCTATGGGGGAGGTGTCAGGGAGAGGCAGAGTGCTGCCCTCAGACTCTATGAGTCAGTCACCTCACTCAGGCCTCTCTACAGGCATTTCTCAAGGGGCCAAGTGCCATGCCTGTGGCGGGGCAGGAGAGCCAGGCTCAGGGGGGAGGAAAACATGGGAAGTGGACACATTGGTGGAGCACATGCCTTCCTGTTACAAATACACATTTCAGGGTCCTACTGTAGACTGTCAGACCTTGAAATCTGGTTTCTAATAGGCCCCTTGGGGGCCTCTGAGGTCCAGCTAGGACCATTGCAACTCTAGCCCACTTGGGAGGAGGGCAAAGACCCTAAGGCCTGGAGGGACTGGGAAGTCTATGGATCAGCCCCTGCACCTCGCTACTCTTGGAGACACATGCACTCTGTGCTGTCTCAGCTGGGGTTGTACCTCCCAGCGCTCTTAACACTTTCTCTCTGGGCTTCAGTGCTTTGTGGCTGCTGCTTATCACCCCACAGGGCTGGGAGCTTCCTTGAAGGCAGGTACTTCATCCCACCTTCTCCCCATTCCTCTTCCTCATCTGTGTTCATTAGCTCAACAAGCATCTAGTGAGAATTTACTGTGTGTCAGGTCCTGTGCTAGGGTCTGCAGATATAGCAGGGAGCAAGACAGACAGGGTGCCTGAACCCATAGAACACAGTCAGTGGGGAAGGAAACCAGTGTCTGGGATATTATAACAATGTGTGGAAGGTCTCAGAGGGGAGCACACACGGGTGGAGTGGGTTGCACAGCATTGGCTAGAGGGGTTCAGGAAGGCTTTCCAAAATGTGTTATCTAATCTGAAACCTAAAGAATAGGTAGGTGTTAGTCAGGAGAGGAGATGGCATGTACAAATGGCAAGAAAGCCTGGCGCCTGAAACAGATGGGCTTTGCACATAAGAGGCACTTAAGAAACAACTGCTGAAAGATTACATATCTGCAGTGCAGACCCTTCTGTGCCTCTCTGCCACACCCCAAATGGAAGGTGGGAGGTCAAGGGTCTTCGTACACACCCCTGCCACCTCTTACCCAGCCTGAATGCTGTTGCCTTTGCTCCCAGCTAGAGGACTGTGCCCTGCAAGTGTCTCCCTCTGGATACTACCTGGACCCCGAGCTGTCCCTGGAAGAGCAGCGGGAGATGCTGGAAGGCTTTTATGAAGAGATCAGGTCAGAGCTGAAGGGGTCATAGAGGCAAGGCTGGCCTCCATCCATGCCCCCCACGAGGGGCTAACTCAGGTGTCAGCAGCTGTGGCACTTGATCTCTGGCCTAGGCTGTGGGTCACCTCCTGCTGCCCCAGGGAACTGTGCCAGGGGAAACCCAAAGCTTGGCCAGTGTTACCTGCTGCCCGGGATGAGAGTTGGCGGGGGGAGAGCTCTCCTACATACCTGATACCTGTGTTTGCACAAACCATCCTGGCTGGCCAACACTTGGCTCCTAGGAGGAGTAGCTGGGAAGGGGCTGAGCCAGGGTTGGCATGCGAAGTCTTTGGCTGCCTAGGCTTGGGGGGAGGGACTCTGAGGAATAGGCTGGGAGCTGCTGACTAGGCTGCTTGATTCCAGCAAAGGGCGGAAGCCTACTCTGATCCTGCGGACCCAACTCTCCGTGAGGGTCAATGCTATCTTGGGTGAGTGTGTGAGGGCATCAGTGTCCAGCCGTCCCTACCCACCCCCCCAATCGAGTTGGCTCAGTTTCTTTCAAGCCTGTGCTGGACAGTGGACAGGGAAGATCAGAGACTGGATATAACCCTTCTCCTTCCCTTCCCTGACCTCTCCTTCCAGGGTCAGGCTGATACCACACCTAGACTGTAGTGGGGGATGCCCAGAGTAAAGGAATGGAGGAAGAGATTCGGTAGGGGGGGCCCAAGAGTACTAGAATATTCTTTGATGGGGCATTGTGGTTGTGTCCTAGTAGAGAAAGACTGTGTGTCTGGGTTCCCTTGAGGGTTTCATGCCCATCTACCCCTTGCAGAAAAGTTGTATGGTTCCAGTGGCCCTGAGCTCCGCCGTTCCCTCTTCTCACTGAAGCAGATCTTCCAGGTGAGGCCCAGAGGTAGGCTGGGGGTGGGTTCCAGCCCAAACCTCCCTAAACTCCCCCATGGTGCCCCCAGGAGGACAAGGACCTGGTGCCTGAATTCGTGCACTCAGAGGGGCTGAGTTGCCTGATCCGTGTGGGTGCTGCTGCTGACCACAACTACCAGAGCTACATCCTTCGAGGTCAGTCCCGCCCCTTCCCCATGACCTCTGCCCCAGTGACCCTTGATGACCTTTCCCCCTCCCTGCATCCTCAGCACTGGGCCAGCTGATGCTATTTGTGGACGGGATGCTGGGGATAGTGGCCCACAGTGAGACCGTTCAGTGGCTATACACACTATGTGCCAGCCTGGTAAGTGGCCCTCTGCCCAGCCATGCACCCTTTTCCCATTGCTTCTCTCTAGGCCTCAGTTTCCTCTTCTGCAATGTGGGCTGGAATGGAGTGAGTCTGAGGCCCCTCTAATTTTAGAAGGCACATCAGTGTCTGGGCCTGGAGCCAAGGTCTTTCTGCCTAGACTCTCCTCTCTGGGTCCAGCCCCAGGAACCCATCCGTCCCCCTCCCCAGCAGGAACAGGTCTACTCCGAGCCACACTCATATGTGGTGACCTCTCCCCACAGTCCCGCTTGGTGGTGAAGACAGCCCTGAAGCTGCTGTTGGTGTTTGTGGAATACTCTGAGAACAATGCACCACTGTTCATCCGCGCAGTCAACTCTGTGGCCAGCGCAACTGGTCAGAGACTGTCCCTCACTCCCCACTACTCAAAGCTCTCTCTTCTACCTGTCCCTCCATGACTGCTCCCCTTCTGTGTAGCAGGCGCTCTTCCTTGGGCCAATCTGGTGTCCATCCTGGAGGAGAAGAATGGTGCTGACCCTGAGCTGTTGGTGTACACCGTTACCCTCATCAACAAGGTGTGGGCAGGGACCAGGCACCAACTCTGGGCCCCTCGGGCTCTTGACCTCTGGTCCCCACCAGCCTTCCTATCCCCACCCTCCAGACGCTGGCGGCGCTCCCGGACCAGGATTCCTTCTACGACGTGACCGATGCACTGGAGCAGCAGGGCATGGAGGCACTGGTCCAGCGCCACTTGGGCGCCGCGGGCACTGACGTCGACCTGCGCACCCAGCTTGTGCTCTACGAGGTGGGCCGGGAGGCCAGGCTCCGACTGGGAGTGGGAAGACTGGAGGGAGAGGTGCAGTTTCTCGGCACACCGCCCCACCTACGCGGGTCTCAACTGCTGGCTCACGTCCTGGCCCACTTCCACTAGAGCGCCCTGAAGTTGGAGGATGGCGACATCGAGGAAGCCGCAGCCGCAGGTGGGCGGCGCGAGCGACGAAAACCATCTTCCGAGGAGGGAAAGAGGAGCCGCCGATCTCTGGAAGGCGGGGGCTGTCCAGCGCGCGCCCCGGAACCTGGGTAAGCATGCCGCGGCAGAAGCGGTAGATGCGGATCTGGGGGACGTGACCCTGTCTGCTGACAAGCCCGGCCCCACCGTCAGGCCCCTCCTTCTCCTCCTCCTCGGGTGACCGGCCCCGCCTCCAGCCCCACAGGCCCCGCCTCACCGATAGGCCCCACCTCGTCTTCCACGGGCCCTGCCTCGCTGACCGGCCCCGCCTCCAGTCCCGTGGGACCTGCCTCTAACCTCCTCGCCTCCGTGAACCTCTTTCCTGCCATCTCTGTGGCACCCTCAGCCGACAGCTCCTGCGAGAGGAGCATCTACAAGTAAGTAGGGGAGATAGAGGCCACCCCTGGAGTCCTCTCTTCAACTATCCCTTCGCTTTGCGCCCCTCCACGGGCCCTCGGCCTCCTCTGCCCAAACGCGTGCTTTCTCTCTCTCTTTCCAGACTTCACCAAACTGCTCCCGTTTGGTAAGTGACTGCTGAGGGAGGAGGGGTTTGGCTCTGACCGGACCACCTCCTCCTGTGGCTTCCTTTTTCTCCTTCTGACATTCCCCGTCTTTGCCTCTTGTTATCTGTCTCCCTACCCTGTGTCTTTCTGTTTCTCTGTCACTTTCTTGTTCTGCTCTGTCTTTGTCTCTTACTACATCCTGTCCTGCTTCATGTCAGTCTCCCCCGCCATTTCCAGTTTCCTCGTGTCATGTCTACCCCACCCCCTCCTCTTCCTACTGTGACTGGGAAGGGACCCGCAGTATCACTGCCCAGCTCTGTGTGGGTGAGAGCAAGTGGGCCTTGTGGTGGAGCCGGCACCACAGTTACCATCTCTTCCTCTCATCCTCCCACCCAGGGCCCCTGAGAGCCCACCTGTTCCCCAGTCCCCTACTGGGCAGGCCAGGCTGGAGTAAGTACAGAGGCCAGCCTGCCAGGCCTGTCATGTGCTCAGGGCTTCAGCATTGCTTCCCCAGCAGGGGTTCCACGTGCCTGATGCAGCCAGAGCTGGGGGACTCTCAGGCCACTCCTGTCCCAGATTTGTGTCTCCTTAGTAACCCAAGAACTAAGCACTGGGAAGGAGTTCACTGGGGTCATACTTGCCCCTCTGCTTCAATAGTGACACCTTAATAGCTTAGGCCAGAAATGGGGATGTGGATGCCCAACCTGGGGCCCATTCTCCCACGTTCTTAGCTCAACAATAGGGCAGGGAGGGGACCTAGCGTGTTGTGTGGTGTAGGGGTGGAAGAGAAACCTAAGGCTCAGAGAAGGGCGGGGACTGAGGGCCAGCAGAGGCTGGAAGGGCCAGAAATGAGACACTGGACCACATTTATTATTTCAACATAAATTGAGTGCCTGCCATTTACGGGGCCCTTTTCTAGGTATAGTCTGCAGCTCTCAGAAGCTGCGAGACATGCAAAGGGAGGGACAGCTTGTTGGGACAGCTATTCCCTTCCCCTGCTGTAAGGGTCCTTGTGTAGAATCAGGACAGTGAACATAAACAGCAGTGAACTTGCAAGCTGGGTATTAAGTGGAACTTCTCTCTGTGTTTTGACCTGGGAATGCTTGGTTGGTAGTAAGCCTCCCCAGATGTGGAGAACTGACCAGGGCTGGCCTTGCAGGGCAGGTCCTGGGTCTGCTCAGTGCATGGACTGTTCCCTGTGTTCTGTGTATGCCTGCAACTGGGGGCAGTGTCCAGGGGCTCAGCAAGGCATGTGCACCACCCTGGGCTGGGGTTGTGTCAGACACTGTCACTGACAAGTACCTCCCCTCAGAGCCCGGTTCCTGGAGAATGTGGCAGCAGCAGAAACAGAGAAGCAGGTGGCGCTGGCCCAGGGCCGGGCAGAAACACTGGCTGGGGCCATGCCCGATGAGGCCAATGGACACCCAGGTGAGTGGGTGGGCAGGCAGAATTCACCGCTTTTGCTCAGTTGCCCCAATGAGGGCATGATGCTGACAGCTGCTTCCCTTTTTCTAGATACCCGGGAACCATGGGACTCCCAAGAGCCAGCCCCTGCACCCAGAACACCCCAGAGCCCTGCCCCCCGAGTCTCGCTCCGGGCCCAGCAAAGCCTTGAGTCAGAACCCAAGGAGCCAGTAGAGCCACCAAGCCCCAAGGCTGAGCCCATCCGGCAGCTCCCTGCCCGTGTACCCAAACTCTGCATTGGAGACCTGGACTTCTCAGATCTGGGGGAGGATGAAGACCAGGACGTGCTGAACATAGAATCTGTGGAGGCCGGGAAAGGGGTCCCACCCCCACCACCCTCACTGCCCCTGCTCTCTGGAGGCCTCCCACCTCCCCCACCCCCACCCCTCCCACCCATCAAAGGTCCTTTCCCACCACCTCCACCTCTGGCTGCCCCTCTTCCCCCCTCAGCACCTGATGCCCCAGCCCTCCCCACCAAGAGGAAGACAGTAAAACTCTTCTGGCGGGAACTAAAGTTGGTTGGGGGCCATGGAAGCTCTGGAAGCCGTTTTGGGCCCTGCCCCACCCTGTGGGCCTCCCTGGAGCCTATCTCAGTGGACACAGCCCGGCTGGAACACTTGTTTGAGTCCCGTGCCAAGGACGTGCTACCCTCCAAGGTAAACCCACTGATCTGCAAGGTACCCCAGTGGAGGTGGTAAGGAATCAGCTCAAGGGTCTAAGCTGTTGGAGTTAGTTGCAAATTTCCCACATGGGGAAACTAAGGCAAAGAAAGACAGGGATTTGTCTGAGGTCTTTCCGTAAGGGATCAACAGAGCCCTAACTAGAATCTAAGCTCATCCCAATGCCTTACACATCCCAAATCCCCAGCTGTGGGATGATTTGGCCATTTAGAGGAGGGCCTTGGAGTGCCCTCTTAAATTGTTGCCCCAGCTAATCCCTTCCCCGATCTTACACTGCCCTTCCCTCAACCTTACAGAAAGGTAGTGAAGGACGCCGGACAATGACCACAGTGCTGGATCCCAAGCGCAGCAATGCCATCAACATTGGCCTAACCACACTGCCACCTGTGCATGTCATTAAGGCTGCCCTGCTCAACTTTGATGAGTTTGCTGTCAGCAAGGATGGCATTGAGGTGGGGATACCCAGCTACGGGTGTGGGAGGGAGGGGGAAGGTCTGGCCCTCCCCTTTGGTCAGTCCCTTAGGTGGTGGGCTTGGGCTTGGCATTTCTGCAGGGCAGTCCCCAGACACTGGGGCTCCCCCAGATGACCTAGGGAGGGGTCAAAACCAATGCCTGAGGCCTTGGGCCAGCACTGAGGTGCCAATGTGGGGTGGTGGCTGTATCCTCAGAAGCTACTGACCATGATGCCCACAGAGGAGGAGCGGCAGAAGATTGAGGAAGCCCAGCTGGCCAACCCTGACATACCCCTGGGACCAGCTGAGAACTTCCTGATGACTCTTGCTTCCATTGGGGGCCTGGCTGCCCGCCTACAACTCTGGGCCTTCAAGCTGGACTATGACAGCATGGAGCGGGTACCTGGGTCATGGAGCGGGACAGGCAGTGGGGACAAGTGAGCTTGATGACCATATAGTCTGAGAGTTCCTGGTCCCCCTCACCAGGAAATTGCAGAGCCACTATTTGACCTGAAAGTGGGCATGGAACAGCTGGTTCAGAATTCCACCTTCCGCTGCATCCTGGCTACTCTGCTAGCAGTGGGCAACTTCCTCAATGGCTCCCAGGTGAATGAGAGCACTTGGGAACTTGGGGTCAGGGCTCTGGTGCCAACCAGGCCCAGGCTCAGATGGGATCCTTCCAGAGCAGCGGCTTTGAACTGAGCTACCTGGAGAAGGTATCGGAGGTGAAGGACACGGTGCGCCGGCAGTCACTGCTGCACCATCTCTGCTCCCTGGTACTCCAGACCCAGCCTGACTCCTCCGACCTCTACTCAGAAATCCCTGCCCTGACCCGCTGTGCCAAGGTTAGCACCAGCCAGAGATCTAAGACTGGCTGAAGCAGGGGGGAGCCCTGCTTCCTGGGGCCGGCTCCTCACCCTTCTCCCTGTTTGGGCTGCTGTGCCAGGGTTTGCTCAGGCTGCAGGCATGAGCTCTGTTCTCTGTCAGAAACTCTGTCTCCTCTATTGGCCCAGCCACACCTACTCGATCTTTGGGTCTCCATTTAGCTGCCACTTCCCCCAAGAAACCTCTGTTCCCTATTGGATCAAATGACTTGTCTGTCTCTTGCATTAGATTGTGAGCTTTTGGAGGGCAGAGTCTGCTGACCAGGTCTGAGCTGGCTGGCCCAAAGGCAGCCTCAGGCAGTGTCTTGTCTGAGGAAGGGGGGAAGCATGTGTACCCCCTTGCTTTTCAAGGTGGACTTTGAGCAGCTGACTGAAAACCTGGGGCAGCTGGAGCGCCGGAGCTTGGCAGCTGAGGAGAGTCTGCGGAGCTTGGCCAAGCATGAGCTGGCCCCAGCCCTGCGTGCCCGCCTCACCCACTTCTTGGCCCAGTGTGCCCGCCGTGTTTCCATGCTGAGGGTAGTGCACCGCCGTGTCTGCAACAGGTAGGGGCCTGGGCCAGAGAGAGGCAGGACTACCACCACCATCATCCCTCAGACACCAAGCAGGACTCACCATCCCTCCTGACCCCAGACCCCAACCTGCCTAGGTTCCACACCTTCTTGCTCTACCTGGGCTACAGCGTGCAAGCAGCCCGCGAAGTGCGCATCATGCAGTTCTGCCACACACTGCGGGAGTTTGCACTCGAGTATCGAACTTGCCGGGAGCGGGTGCTGCAGCAGCAGCAGAAGCGGGCCACATACCGTGAGCGCAACAAGACCCGGGGACGCATGATCACTGAGGTGGATGCCCTTCCAGGTCTCAGCTGGCACCCCCATGGTTTGTTTCCCCTACTCCCAGCTCACCCTTCTCTCCTCTCCAGACAGAGAAGTTCTCAGGTGTGACTGGGGAAGCCCCCAGTAACCCATCTGTCCCAGTGGCTGTGGGCAGTGGGCCAGGCCGGGGTGATGCTGACAGTCACGCCAGTATGAAGAGTCTGCTGACCAGCAGGCCTGAGGATACCACGCACAGCCGCCGCAGCAGAGGTGGGACCCATAGCCCCTGGGGGAATGGGTTCTAGGGCCACCCTGGTCTGACCTTCCTATCTGGCCTCCCTCAGGTATGGTCCAGAGCAGCTCCCCAATCTTGCCTACAACAGTGGGGCCCTCCTCTGCACCTCCAGAAGAACCCCCAGGCTCCAGTTTACCCAGTGATACATCAGATGAGATCATGGACCTGCTGGTGCAGTCAGTGACCAAGAGCAGCCCTCGTGCCTTAGCTGCTCGAGAACGCAAGCGTTCCCGTGGCAACCGCAAGTCTTGTGAGTACCCCCCTCAAGCCCACTACCCACCTTAACCCCATCAACCCCCTCCAACCCTGCTCTGTCCCTGCAGTGAGACGGACACTGAAGAGTGGGCTTGGTGACGACCTTGTGCAGGCACTGGGACTGAGCAAGGGTCCTGGCCTGGAGGTGTGAAGGTGCTGCCCTAGGAAACCTATCTGGACCCTGGTGTGCAGTGCAAGAGACTATATAAGTAGAGCGAGGAGGGCCCAGAGCAGAATTCTGGTCCCAGAGACCAGTGCCTTGAGCAGTATTAGCTTTGTGTGTACATGTATGTGTGCGTGTGCATACGTGTGTGTGTGTGCGCGTGTGCGCGCGCGTGCACGCGTATATGTGTGAGCTCCCTGAACTCATGGAGCAAAATAAAGTTTTCCTAGCTAATCCAAGAGCCTTTTTATTCTTTCAAGATTCTCACAAGGCTAGGTGTGTAGCAGGAGAGAAATGCCACAAGACTAGCTCTTCCTGCCTCATCCCTCACAATCACCCACATAGCTGTTAGCCATATCTTACTCATTTATTCAATAATCCTATATCTCAGACTGCTTTTGGCCCCTGGACTAGGTCCTCATTACTCCAGGCATGGGGGCCATGTATCCTGATAGAGCCATCCAGGGCCCAACAGCCTGTGACCACAATGTCAATGGCTATAACCGCTTCATCTGCCGCCTCTCCTGTCGGCGCTGCCGTTTCTCACTGTGCTCTGGTGCTGGGGTGCCACTGTCTGCCGTGAACCAGGGGCCCAGCACATTCACCCACAGGAGGTAAAGGGCCCGGCCTGGAGCCTAAGAGAGAAAAGGTAACTTGAAGCCAGGTACAGGGAATGAAAGATGGGGAAAGTTAAGTGCCCCTTCTTGGGAGCTCCCCAGCCACGCACCAGAAGCCAGAAGGACCAAATGTAGAGGGAGAAGCAGCTGAGCACCTGCACGATGGCTGTCAGTAAGATCACATCCTTAAGATGCCTGTGGATAGAAGGGAGGCTGCCAAAGACTGTAGAGGGGCCCCAGTTCAGTTCCCTTCCACCCTCTTTAAGTTGCAGGTAGCTGTGGGTCTTGAGCTATCTGGGCCCCAGCTCTGGGGCCGCTCACCTGGGCTGGCGGTGGGGGACACTCACTCTGCCATGCCCTGCTCCATGTTGAGGTCCATGCCACCATCCATCAAGGCCCCATCCTCAGAGAAGGCTGCTCGTGCCATTGAGCTCATAGAGTGATAGCTAGCCCCATAGACTGCCAGACTAAAGCCCAGGGCCATCTGCAGAGTAAGAATGGGGGTATCAAAGGCTAGTCACTAACCCTGTGCACTTATCCATTCCCCAGGATGGGGACACTTACCCAGGTCCAAAATGAGGCAGATGAGTAGAAGAAGACCAAGGTCACAAGGCAGTAAATAGCCTGCAAGCCAACACAGGAACAGGCTGAGGTCAAAAGCTACCCCAAAACCATGGGCCTTCTTCAACTCTATTCAAGAATTAGGGCAGGCTATGGGAGGAGCCAGGTTCTTATAGGGTTGGGGGAAGGGCCCTGCTTCCTGAGCCCCCAGACTCTTCTCTGACACCCAACTCAGCACAGGAAAGAAGACCTTGTGTATTGGGGGCGGGAAGGGCTCTCAAATCTGACTGGGACTCATGCTCTCATTTTTTTGTTTGTGTTTTGCTTTTATTAGTCAGCAATTTCTTTATGCCTGGATCCTTTCTTATTTCTCTCTCTCTCTCTCTTTTTTTTTTTTTGGCTGTTGGTCAGTGTCATTTCTCTTTGATTGGATTTCTCTTCTTTGGCTGTCACAGACCCCGACTCCTCACCAAACAGGGCTGAGGACTGTGGGATAAGAAGCAAGGAGGCAGGCACTTACATTGGCCCCCAGTATGATCCGCAAGTAGAACTTCAGGGTCTCTCTGTTCTCTTCAAATATCTGCTTCTTCCCTCTGGTGCCCACTTTGCCCTTGGGCTGTAGAGGGATGATGAAATGCCGTCAGAGCCCCTCTCAGCCACAGTCCTCCTCACCCGCCCCATCAGTCTGGTTAGCTGCAGAGTTCCATCTACACCTCAGCCATGTCCCCGCGGTGCTCAAACCTAGCGCAGTCCCTAGGATGTACACCCTCTTTCAATCCATCCTGTCAAAGGCTGACACCATATTTCCGGCACCCCCAGCTATGATTGCTTCCTGCTCGCTCTGAACAACTTAACCCTGGGTTAATACCTCCTCTGGCTCCCCTGGTAAGGTCCAGCTTTGGGCTAACGACCCCTCCAGGGGTACTCCTGAGTGGAGTTAAAAATGGTGCCCCTCTCCAGCCTCTGCTCGCGTAGTCCAGATTTGGGCTGACACCCACCCCTTCAGCTCCCTCAAATTTCTAGCCTGTCCTAGTACTGTCTGGTACTAACCGCCACCCCGCTTCCACACTAGCTCTCTGGTACGGTCCCGCGCTGCCATCCCCCGACACTCCTTGCCCCCAGCCAGCTTTAGTACAGTCCAGCCATTGGATGGCGCCCCCCTCTGGCCCACACCGCACCCCTTCCTTGTTCTTCCTCTGTTTTTACTCTCCCAGCCCGGGGACCGCTTTGCCGATGCGGACCCCGCCCTACCCACCCTCCTTACCGCCATGCTGCGACACAAATACCCAGCCAGAGAAACAAGGGAGAGCCACAGAAACCACAGTCACTAGGTACCACATCGGCAGAGCACGGACTTCCGGTGTACACTAAAGTCGTCAGGCTCTGGGACGGAAGTGCATTCCACTTCCTCCTCAAGTCCCGCCTCCAGAGCTGGTGGAACTACACTTCCCAGAAAGCATAGCGAGGGGGCGGAGGCGGCTGGGATGCGATGGCGGAATCGCTGCCCCTGGAGGTGAGAGGAAGCCGCCCTCAGGCCTAGCCCCGGACAGACCCCGCCCTTGGGGTCCCGGGCTTTGGGGAGGGGCTGTCAGACAACTCGCCCAGCCCCTCCCGCCTGGCGGAAACGACCGCCCGGCGGATTACGGGATCTGCAAGCTCTGGGTAACGGCCTCGCCTTTGGGCCACTCCGTCCCCTTAGCTTGAGCAACCATCCTCTCCTTCCCCATCGGCCCCAGGAGATGGCTGCTCTGTCACTTCAGCAAGGACAGGCTCTCTGCCCATCCTCTTCCCTTGAGATGGCCGCCCCCCCCCTCAGTTCTGGAATATGTTCGCTCCATCCCATCGTCCCCGAAGGGTAACCGTTCTTATCCCCATTGGCCCCTTAGGATGGTCGCTCCATTTCCTCCGCCCGGAGAGACGACTGCGCCCTCTCCCTAACAGTGGAAAATAGCTCGCCATCAACTTTGGGAATGGTTGCTGAGGTCCTTGAGCGAGGACAGACCTGCTCCCCACTCCCTAGGTTCCCTAGTGATGGCTGTCCCTACCTCTTTCACCCCATGGCATGTTTGCTCCTTCATAGCCAGGGGCAAGACGACTCTGTCCCCATAGGCCGAGGAGGTAACAGGTTTTGTCGCCTGTGGCCTCTTGAAATGGCCTCTTCATCCCTTTTCCCCTGAGGGTTGGCAGCCACCTCCCACTGCCCATGAGAGACAGGCCACCCTTTCCCCATTAGTCCTAGAATGGTGCTCCCTCTCCTTGGTAAAAATAGGCCTGCTCCCACCCCATCGAGCTCCCTGCAATGGCATCTGTTTCCTCCTTGGGCCCAGAGGATATCTACTCCTTCCCCATAGATCTTATGCATGACCAATCACATCTCTAGTAGCCCCTTGGGGTGGGGTTCATGGGATGGCCACTCTATCCTCATCACTGCTTCCTCTTATCTCTCTAGAAAGGCCATCCCCTTCTAAGCTTAATGAATTGTGCCCTCTCCCTTCCCCACTGCCAATGATGACAAGTTTGTTTTCCTCTCTCTGCTCATTGGGTTAGCTGCTCTGTCCCAGAAGACAGCTTGGCCACTATCTTAAACAAGTTTCCCTGCCCCCCACTCGTAGGGATAAAGGCTCGGTCAGTCCCAGTCCCCATCTACTGGTACTCTCTTACCTGTGCCTAGCCTCCCTAGCCTGGTCATTTTCCCCTGCTTTATTTTCCTACCCTGTTCCTGAGCAAACCTTTGGTAAAAATAGAGGTAGAGGACTGTCCATACTTTACTTAATACAGTAAGTATTGGTTGAGCACCTCCTGTGTGCTTGGCATCTGAGAAAGGAAGGAGAGATCAGAATGGGCTGGTGAAGTCAAGCTTACGTAAGGGCATCCCAGGAAAGAGGCCCACATAGGCAAAAGGAAATAGACATGCTATGTTTGTAGGATAGTGGGGAGACTGGACTGGGTAAGCTCTGGGACCAGTGGGTCTACAATGCATGGAAGACTGGCATTGCTGATCCAGGAGTGGAGATTTTGTCCTGAGAATACTGGGGAAACCTGAAGGTTTTCATCAGGGGTGCACTGAAACTGAAAATTGTTTTTTAGGAAAATTAACCTTGTGACAGTGTGCAGAATGGATTAGCAAGGAAGTCAGGTGGGAGACTGTTGGAAAGAATTGAGGTCTGGTGTGGTGAAGATCTGAGCTACTAAGATGATGAAGTTGCAAAGGTAGAAATAATGGTACCAGCAATCCAGCAGCATTTATAGAACATCTACAAGTTGTCAAGCATTTTATATATATATATATATATATATATATATATATAAAATTTAATCCCCATAAGACTAGGATCTAGATTTTTTTTTTAATATCCCCATTTTGCAGATATAGAAACTGAAGCTCAGAGAGGTCAAGTACTTTGCCTGAGGTCACACAGCTAGGAAGTAGTGGAGCTAGGATTTGAATGAGTCTAGGTTAGCCTGGCCTAAAGCCTGTGCTTTACACTCATATCTGGAAGCAAGGGACAGAAGAGCATGAAAAGTCTAAAGTGTTATCAGGATCTTCAGGTGCACTGTTGGCATGAAGGGAGAAGTTGGGAGGAGGGGCTGTTTTGGACTGAGGGCAGAACATGAATTAAGGAGATGGGCTGGCCCGGTGGCACACTGCTACAGTGCGCCGCCTGGGAAGCGTGGCAGCGCTCCCGCCGAGGGTTCGGATCCCACATGCAGACCGGCCGCTCACTGGCTGAGCGAGGTGTGGGAGCAACACCGAGGGTTGCGATCCCATTGCCGGTCCCGGTCCGGTACGGGCGCGACACTGAGGGTTGTGATCCGTTGCCGGTCACGAAAAAAAAAGACAAAAAGGAAAAAAAAAAAAAAAAAGAAATTAAGGAGATGGTGAGACATTTGGGTGAAGGATCCAGTGGACAATTGGCAAAACTAGACTAGCACTTGGATATTAATACAATATGGGGATACTGAATTGTTGGTTATTCCTGTATTGGTAAACAGAAGATCAAAGTCTGAGGCCTGGGAGCCACAGAAGAATCCAGAAACAGGGCAATTGGCCTGTGCTGGGTGAAGGCCTAGAAAACAGTGTCACACAACTCAAGGAGGGAAGATTTCAAAAGGAAAGAATAGTTAATGTCAAATCATCCCTGGTCTCACAGCCGACCCCTTTCCCAGTCTTCCTTGGGGTCCCCAACCTTACCACCCCTAGCCTCATAGAGCATAGATGGAGGTAGGGCCTGCACCTCCCAGGCTGGATCTTGCTGGGATCATATCTCAACAGGCAGCTGAGAAAGTGAGTTGGCAATGGAGAAGATGGGAAAAGAATGGGGTCCCCGATTTTGACCTATGAGGGCAGAAAGCAGAGGTGTGATTTCCTGGAGATGAGAGGAGGAGTACCTGACTTGCTGTGTTCTAGATCCTATGCAAGACACTCACAGCAACCCATTGAAATCTCACTACAATTATCATTTTACAGATGAGGAAAACAAGGCTCGGAGAGATCAGTTGACAGAGTAGGAATTTGAACTAGGTTTATCTGACCCCAGTGCCCAGGCTCTTTTTACCAAACTTGGCAGAAAATTTGATTCTTATCAGTCGGTACAAGCCTGCACGCAGCCTGGTGGGGCTCAGGAAAGGTTTCTTCACGTAAAGATACCTGAAGGCTGGAGAGGGGAAGTGAATACTCCTTGAAGCTTTGGATCCAAGATGAAGTAGAAGCCAGTGCTATGGTGCCCTCAGACCCACTGTGCTATCAGCTGGAGTAGGTCCCAAAGGGCCTCCAGCTCTAACGGCCCCCAATGCCCTGTCTTTTTCCCTCAGATACTCACATATATTCTGAGCTTCCTGCCTCTGTTAGCTCAGAAAGAGGCCTCCCTCGTGAGTCAGGCTTGGTACTGTGCAGCCTAGAATGCCCTTTGGGAGGTAAGGTGCCCATCCCCACCTGGTCCATTCTCAGTTTTTCTCTCACTTGTTTGCTCATGGGCCTGCTCATACAGCATCCATCCATCCATCTGTTCATTCATACATATTCACACAAACACATTCAAACATGCTTGGCTCTGGATGCAGTGCTGGGGCTATACAGATCAATAAGACGTAGTCCCCTAAGGAGCTCACAGTCCAGTGAAGGAGAAAAACAAGTAATGTTAATATGAGTGACCATGCTATTGGGTGCTCAGTACTGTGACACTGGAAGAAAGGGTGCAACGGGAACATGACAGAGGACATCCACAGGAGACTGGCAGCATCCTATTCCTGAAGGAATAAGATGAGGATGAAGGTTGGTCTTCCAGGACCGGTAACTGCACAGGTGAAGGCACCAAGGTCTGGAACAGTTGTGGAAATGACCACCCAAGTTCCATATGACTGGAACTGAGATGTGTGTGGGAGAAGTGCTGGGAGATGAGTCCAGAATAGCCTTCAAGCTGGCAATTGTGCCAGGTGGCAGAGCTTAGTCTTTCTCCCAGTTACCGTTGTGAAACCTTTAAAGGACTATTAAGGCAGGCGAGTGACACGGTGTGATTTGTGTCTTAGAACTCCGCAGTGCAGAGTGGACTGGAGAGGGCGAGACTGAGTACAGGGAAGCAGACCAGCGAGGAGGTGAATGCGGATGTCTGTGCTAGTTTGAAAGGCAAGCAATGACGGCTCATTGTTTTAATGTTGATTTCTTTGATTATTAGTGAGGTTAAGCAGTTTTTCTCATTAGGTGACCATTTGTATTTCCCTCTTTTGTTTATTCATTTAACTTTTAGGGTTTTTTTCTTATCCATTTGTATGAACTTTTTATACATCAAAGAGATTAACCCTTTATTTATTTATTGAAATATATTCCCAGTATGTTTGCCTTTTAATTTGATTTGCAGATATGTATTTTTATTTCATGAGATAAAGAAATTAAATTTCTATATTGTTGATTCTGAACATCCTTTTCATTTTTCTTCCATTGTTTTTTAAACTTAAAGATCCTTTCCCACTTCAGACATTTGATAAATATATGTCATATTTTTCTTGTTTGTTTTTAATAGACTTTATTTTTTAGAGCAGTTTTAGGTTCACAGCAAAATTGTTTCTTCTGTTTTATGGACTGAATTTTTGTATTAATTTTGTTATTGGTGAAATTTATTCTGATTTATGTTATGAGGTAAGATGTTAAACTGATTAGTTTTCAGATGGCCCAAACACCATTTATGTCTAATCTTCCCCTTCTCTGTTGGGTTGGAATCCTCCTATGTCACATATTAAATGCATTGTATAAATAGGGTCTGTCATTGAATTATCTTTCCAGTATCATTGATCTTACTATTTAAAGGAATTTGATTTTGGACTTACTGAAAAATTGAAGTGTGAGACAGCTAGATGGTGAGATCCAGTAGGTAGTTGGATTTCTGGGTGAGAAATTCAAAAGAAAGTTCTGGATAATAAATATAGATTTGGGCATCATAAAAGAATGGATGGAAGTTGAAGCCACGGATCTGAGCAGCTTCCCCCAGGGAGAGCATGAAGAGCCTTAGAAAGAGCCAGCCTTAGAGAAAGCCCTAGGGGTTTGAGGAGATCCCAGAGAGAGAAGGGCACAGAAGTCAAAGGCGAGAGAGCGTTTAAAGGATCAAGTGGATGATTAACAATGTCAAGTCCCACAAAGAATCCAGCAGAGAAAGAAGAAATAATGTCCATGCGATATCATACCAAGGAGACTATCAATGGCTTCAGTGGTATTTGGCATTTGGGGAAAAAAGCCAGGTAGGTTAAGGAGTGAATGAGAGAAGAAAGGAAGTGTAGGGAGTGACCTCACTTGGAAGAAACTTCCCCTTGGAAGGAAGGAAATAAATGGGGCAAAAATGAGAGGTTGAGGTGGGCTTGACAAAGGGATATTGATTAAGAGAAATCTCAAATGTGTTAGTTTTAATGCTTAAAGGAGAGAGTCAGTAGAGGAGGGATGAATGTAGTGAGGATAGAAGTCAGGAGTGGTGGATGCCACCTGAGGTGGTGGCAGAGACAGGCTTCAGCATATAAGGCTTGATAGTGGGTAGATGGAGAGGATGTCATCTCTTCCTGAGGAAGCAGAGGCATGTGATGGAAATGTGGAGCTGTTTGGGGAGGAAGTTCCTCAGAGGCATCTCCTTCCTCGATGGCCTCTGCTTGGTGAATTTGGATGCCATGTTGTCTTAAGAGAGCGAGAAGAGAGGTAGAGGCCAGGGCCTTGGCAGAGAGGTTTGGCACAGTGATGAGGCAGAAGGAAAAGGGAATTACCAGAGACACACGGAGAGGCTGCGGACAGCCGCACTCACTGGGATGTGTGTATGTGTGTGTGTACCTCACACTGTGCTGGGCGCTGGGGAGGCGGCACTAAGAGAGACACTCTCTCTCGGCAGTTTGTAGTGAGAGGGTGACAAGCCCAAGCAAAAACGGATTAGGGCACTGCATTCGAAGTCTGTGAGGCATTGGGGGTGCAGAGAAGAGTCTGAAAAGACTCCACAGAGAAGGAGATGCTTGGCCAGAGACTCAAGAGAGGAATACATATTTGCCAACTAGACAAATAGGAGTAAGCAGAAAAAGCAGCTGAGCAGAGGCATGGCAGCGTGAGACATCGGTCTGCAGTGGGCATTATTCCCAGAGCCCCTGGGTGGGGATGAAGGGGGTGATGAAGAGGGAGGCAGTTCTCATGGAGAAGGGCTTGAATGCCAGCCAGGAAGCTTGGCCCTGGTCCTGTACGCATGGAGAACCATCAAGGGGTCTAAAGAGCATGGCCAGATCTGCCCTTTGGAAGGATTATCCTGGTGACAATACCAAGGATGGATTGGAGCCAAAGACACTGGAGGCCAGGATGGACCCTGATAAGGAGGCAACTGCTGTAATATATTCCTGGCAGACAATAAAGGGACCTGAACTAAGGCAGAAGTTGTGAGGTTGGAGCAGAGGGACATATTTCAGTATATTAAGGGAATGGAATGGAATGGAAGGGACTTTGGTTGTTGTAGATGTGGGGAGTGAGGGAGGGTTCTAGGCTGACTCCCAGATTTCCCAGTTGGGTGACTTGGTAGAGGGTGGCAAGAGTTTAGGAGAAGGAGCAGAGTGGGGGGATAAGTGAATTCAGACTTGGGTGTGTTGCATCCATGCTATCTGGAGAGAGGTCAATCAGGCAGCTGGCTCCCAGGGTCTGGTGTTCAGGAAAATGATGTAGATCAGAAAGAAGGTAGTTGGGATGATTACCCCTTGGGACAAAATGCAGTCTCCCAGAGTACACATGGAGGGTGACAAAGATTGTGGGTGTGTGTGTGTGTGTTGTCGAGTCGAACGAACAGTGGTGAAACCACTTGTCTATGGACTGGGTCTCTCTTCTTTGGTAACCCCAAAAGAGGCTGATGGGGAGCAGGCTAGAAAGTAGGAGAGCTGGGAGGGCAGAGTCGCAGAACCCCAGGTGGGAGATAGCATCAAGGAGAGTGGCTACTAGCCATCCATATAGCAGGTGGCATGGCAGAGAGGACACTGTGGGGGGTCCAAAGAGAAGTCCCCACATGTTAGTGACCCCATTGGAAGGGAGCTGCTGCCAGGAATGAGTGATTCTATAGGGGCAATGGTGGAAGGGTGAATGGGTGAGGCAGGGGTAAGTAAGTGGGTGTGCCCCTGTGCTTCCAAGAAGCGTGACTGTGGAGGGAGGGGAGAAATAGGATAGGCAAGAAGAGGGGGTGCAGGATGAAGGGAGGCTTCTTCTTATCTAAGTCTCTGGGGTGTTTGTGACCTCTACAGAAGGGGCAGTAGAAAGGCAGAAACAGCAGTTTTCTCAGAGGAGAACAGGGGGACAGGCTCAGTAGGCCAAAAAAGAGGATTGCCTGGAACTGAAAGAGCAGGAGAGAGAAGGAGGTTAGGATGGATGGTGAATGTGAGCAGAGAAAAGGGAGAGCATCCCTGCTGATGGCTTTGGTTTCTTTTCAAAGCAGACAGGTCATCCCTAAAAAGGCTGGGGTGAGGGGAGGGTGCTGCAGTAGTGTTGGGAGCTGGAGAAGGTAGAGGCTTGGAGTATGGGGGCTGGGAAGGGAGCAGGGAGGCAAGAGTAGGGGATGCCAATGCTGGTGGTGTGGGCAAGAGGGGAGACCAGGGCTTCCGCAGCAGTGCAGACCCAGAAGAGGCAGCTGGTCTCATCATCGCTGGCTGGGTAAGGAGAATGGACACAGCAGCATGACAGAGGCAGGGCAGCAAGGACCCAAGGAAAGTGAATCAAGAGGAGAAGCCTTGTGGAGGCCAGCATAGGAGGAGGCAGAGGAAGCCAAGTGGGCAGCCAGGCCCCTGGGGTGTATGTGAGCATGGAGTAGGAATAAGGGAGACAGGAAGGAGGAGGCGGTGAGGGCCAGCATTTGGGATCTTAGAGTCTACCATTTTAGAAATGGGGCTGCTCCAGCTACCCACGAGCTCCAGACAGAATATTGACAAAGACCCACTCAGTGTCTCTGCAGAACTCAGCTCCACCCGGGCTGGGATCCCTGGCCACAGGAACATGGGCATCTAGGGCCCTGCCAATACATCACCACCACCACATCCCAGAGAGCAATCTGCAGAGCCCTGTTGGCAGGAACCATCTTCCAGGGCCCAGGTGTGGGCAGGTTGAGAAGGAGGAAGTGCCCAGCCAGGAGGTACTGTGGAAGATACTGGCTTACCAAAGCCAAGCTGGGGTCTGGCGAGGATGCTGGACGTGGTGACTTCTTATTCCCTCTGACCTGCTCCCTCTCTAGAGACCCATGCCCCTGGTGCCAGGGCATACATTTTCCCAGCAGCCTTTGGAGGAGAACAGGCATGTTAGCTTTGGATTCCTGCACTGGGCATCTCTATCATGGCTTTCCAAGTCTGTACACAGGCCTGCAGTCTCAGTTTGGGGCTTTAGTAGGTCCAACAAAACCCTGGCCTCCCAGTCAAGGGAATGTGTTACTTTTAGCAGGTTCAAGGCATTTCACAATTACTCTTCAGATGCCAGCATTGGGAAAGGAGACCAAAGGGCCAGTTGATCCCTCTGTGGATGGGATGACGGAAGCTGGACCAGGTACCCTTGCAGGCCTCCCTGAGGACGCTAGAAGCTTCTTTCTAGGGCCCAGAAAGGAGGAGTTTCCTATACTAGGGCCAAAGTCCAGATCCCAGGAGGCCTGTTTCTGCCTGCGCTGTGCCCACCACAGAGAGAAATATCACTAAAAAGCTGCTCCTGGGTTCCTGCAGTTTAAGTCCAGGTGACTTCAGGAGCAGGGTAGGCCACCTGAGTGATGGCTTAGAGACTTTCCCCACCCCACCAAGAAAAATGGTGGGGGGCCAGAGATGGTCTCAAGCCTCCCCCCTCCCCCTAATAGCTGGAAGTCCTTCAGACCAGGCCCTGCCCCCTTATCGGGTGTTTTTTGCTGCCAGCAGCCAGCCCTGGACTTGGGCCCTACGGTGACTGCCAGTTCTCCCTTGGTTGTGTGTCTGCCTTGTTCATAGGGAGGCAGTGGGAGAGGGGAGAGCATTCCTGGACTCCCAGACTCAGAAGGAAGGGAAAGAAGAAAGGCTGAGCACCTCCAGCTGCAGATGCTAGAGCTGGGGCCTGCGAGCCTGAGGCTCTCTGGGTCTCCTCAGTGACATGTGAGTGGTGGGAGCAGGCACTCCCTGTCAACCCACCAGCTCCCAACTTCCCCAGCCATTGTTTACTCTATTCAATATCAGATTGACTTATTTGTCCTTCAGGGCTTGGAAATGGCTGGAAGCATGCTTTCTCTTTCCTTCTAAAATATTTCCTTTCTGATCTTCTGATCTTCCCATCACCCTCCCTACCCTCATATGCTGGGATCTTCCCCGGCAATCCTTAAACCTGAGAGAGGGACCCAGGCCCTTGGGAGTCCTGACTACTGTGCTGTTTCCCCCTCCTCAATCGACTGCCCATGAGGGGATCTGTGTGGAATGACCATGTTCCAGAAGTAGGGTCTGGAAAGGGATCCTAGCCGACCCCTGATTCCTGTGAAAGAGACCAGGGGCTGGTCTCTGCCCCATATATACACTCCTTCCCATCTCTACAGCCATGGGTGGCCACTTCTCTATGGCAGAAGCCAGGCTAGTTTCTCCACACCTGGGAATGAGTTCTGTGCTTCCCTGGAGAATCCTGTTGATGGGTTTCTTGGAGGGGTCCATCCTATTTGTCATTTTGACCTTTCTAGTTCCTTTTTGGTGATATTCTGTGAAGGACAAGCAGGGAGCAGCAGCTTGTTTTTGCAGTTACTGACAATATAGGCTTTTCAGAGGGCTTGTTTCCTGTTTCAGGGGCATGTTGAGACATTAAACGAGAGCCTTGAGGACCACCTACCTGCAGCCTAGGCAAGAGGTAGGGAAATGGGGCTAGGGTTTTAGAAGCCAGGCCCTCTTCCTCTCTCCACAGCCCTGTTCCACACAAATTGTACTGACTTCCCTTTGGGTCACAGTGGCAAAAGACCAGGGAAGTCTCTATGAAAACATCTCCTTGCCGGGGGCTCCCAAATTCCTACACAAGCCAGCTTATTCCTTTGCCTCCCAGGTCCCACCCCACTCTGACTGTGCACTCTGCGTTCTCACTACCCTGTTCCTCTACAGCAAGGCCCCTCTGGGATTTGTTCTACTAGCTCCTGCCTACAGAGATGGGTGGCTTCTTCTTCCTTACCTAGACAGATAGATGTCCCCTCCAGAGATGTACCCCAGGGATCACAGCACATCTTGAGCTCTGGAGCATCCAGGGCCTGATACCAGGCAGCCCCGCACTTGCTAGTGTACACACACACACACACACAGGCACACATGCATACGCATTTTCGTGTATACATAAAACCCATTTTTATAAACATTCATGTGCCTGAGACACTCTGAGACCACCTGGGCTTTGCTGCCTGAACCAGACCTCTGGCACCTGGGCCACAGAGGGCTGTGGTGAGTGACGCCTCACTTCTTCCCACCTTCACCTCTTCTAAGGGCTATTTTTTTTTTTTTTTTTTTTTTTTTTTTTTTTTTTTTTCCG